TATATATATTTGGTTTTTTGAGACAGGGTTTCTCTGTGTAGCTTTGGAGCCTATCCTGGCACTCACTCTGAAGACCAGGCTGGCCTCGAACTCACAGAGATCTGCCTGCCTCTGCCTCCCGAGTGCTGGGATTAAAGGCGTGCGCCACCAATGCCCGGCTTCTCTGTATATTTTAAAACCTTGATTCTGTAACAAGAAAGCACCCTGATGACTAAGTTATTCTTGGTTATGTCAATCATTACCTAAGATCTGCACTCAGGCATGCAAATAGAACATGAAAGGTGAGCCAATCCATCATCATTACTCAGTTATCAAATATCTCCTGGGGGCCGGCAGATAACCCCCAGAGAAGGGCATGCTGAGGGGATATATGTTCTAATTGTTTATACAGCTCAGCTGCTTTGTCAGAGCCCTCTCAGAAAACCAAGCTGGTGAGGGAGGTGTGGAGTAAGTCACTAACTAGCACCCCAGTGGCTGGGGAACTCTAGAAGGAGTAGAAGGCTGCGCACACACACTTTGTGGTATAATTCCGGTGGGATGCCTCAGAAGAGTGGAAGATAGGATGCTTCTGCAAAGCGTTGGGAACACACTACTGACTAGAATCTGGTGCTCAGAGCTTTAAGCTGGCCAGGATTTCCTCCGTGTGTGATCTGTTGAGCAGCTCCGACAGGGACTCACTGGTGTTCTGGTGGAACGCGGAGCCCAGACCGTAGCCATCTGTGTTCCTGCTCTCCAGTTGGAAGCTGCTCACCAGCTCCTGCATCCACTGGACGTCTGCTGAGAGCTGCTGCCTCAGAGCCTCAAACTGCACCTGCAGATGGTCTAGCTTCCTGGCCATGCCTCCAAGGCTGGCCCCTGTGGTCTGGATGTCTTCCCTCAGGAGCTTCTTCAGGGACTCCACCTTGCGGAACTCATACTTGAGCTGGGACAGGTTGTGGCGGGCATTCTCATTCTCCTCTCGGTACCAGGCCTCCTTCTCATTGTAGATAGCGACCAAGGCCTCCACATCATCCTGCAGGGTGTCATGGGCTCCTGCTAGGGCATGACATCCCTTGTCCACCTGAGCCACATCCTCTACCACATGGGCAAAACGCTCAAAGTTGACATAAGTGTTGTTGGGGGGCATGCTTGAGTGGCATTTGAGGGTATACTCTCTCAGGCGTTTGGTCTTCAGCTGGGTAGGTTGTGTCTTCCACTGTTCAGGGGCTCTGGCTTCTCCTTTTGACTAGTAGGTGTTCAGATAGAAGAACCAGAATATTAACATGATATGTGCTCCACAGGGCAGTCCAAGCTGCAGGCGGAAGGCACACACATGGCCTCTTTGGCATTCACTGCTCGTGTCAAGACATGGTAGGGAGAGCCAGGGTGAGGCTAGCACCCACCCCCGCAACAAGACCATAAGAAACATTAAGGAATGTAGGGGTGCTGCCTGCATGCTCACTTCAGGGCAAAGGGTTCCATGGCCATTAGAGAGGGTTACCACACACATAGAATTTAATAGTAGCTCATATAGACAAGCAGGCTGCAGCTAGGGCTCTGCAAACATCCACTCAAGGGCTGAAACATGCAGACTATAGCAGGCAGAGGAAGGCTGAAGGTATCTGCCTTTCAGGACACTGCAGCCTTGGCAAAAGCCAGCATGCTCAGCAGAAAGGAGCCCAAGAGGATCCTTAGCTTCAGGCTCTGGGCACATTCCACCTTGGAAAATTATTGGCCTTCCCCATCCTCCAAGGATTAAAGGAATTTATCATCTACAGGACTCTCCCCTTCTTATCTACACTGGGATTCCTATGGGCCTTCTCTGTTAACAATGAAGGTAGACTGTGGAGTGTTCAGCTAGCCAGCCCACAAAACCAGGGCTGGAGCCTTGTTCTGAGTCCCAATGTGCTTTTCATGCCAAAGTCCAAGGCTCTGAAAACCAGTGGGTCCTCCACTGCAGGTGGGCTATGGAGATTCATTTTCTGCCCTGACCCTCCAACAAGGAACAGATCTGCCCTAGCAGACGTGGCTTATCTCCTCCAGCAGGTCTCTATATCAGGACCCAATCCCTGAGGCTGCACAGTGCCTAAAGAAGCTACATGATAGACTTGCATTTCATCCTTTAGTGAGAGCCCAGAAGGCTGGAAAGGAAATGTACCTGGTTACAGAGTCAACAAAGAACACTTTGTAAGCTGGCCTCTGAAGAGAGTGTCTTAACTGAGATCTATGGTGGTCTCATTGGCTCTCTAAACCCATGAAATACAAACTTAAGGTAGCAAAGCCCTATTTTATTTCTTTTTGTTTCTTTTTGTGGTGCTCTGAGTGGAACTCATAGCCTCATGCAAGCGAGGCAGGCACTCTAGTACCAAGCCAGTAGAAGCCCATTTGAACAAGCATCGGCCTTTTGAGGGCCCTTGACCAGTGCCTGAGATCAAGCAAAGGTTTCTTAGCAGCCATTTGTATTTGACTGTCACAGCCAGACCTGGTGGCAGAAGAGTGACCTCCTGCTCACTGGGATTCATTACCATGCTCTTACCATTATCCAGGGATGTCTCAGAGCTTCTTGGATGGTAAGCCGTTTCCTGCAATGAGGATGAGGAAACAGAAATTCCGTGAGGACAAGCGATGTCTCACCTTTTTGACATTCTTTGGCTGTGCCATCAAGGCAGTACAGCTGCAGATATGGCTGAAAACTGGCTGCATTACCAATACTCTAGGGAACCTCAATAGAGAAGCCTTACTACCCAAGCCCTTGACTTCAGTTCAAAGTTGAAGGGCCTAATTGCCACACTCTATTGAGCTTCCAGACTCCTCTGAAAGTCAGCTCTGCAGGGCCAAACCTCTGGTGTCTGTTTTTGTGTTGACCAACCAGGTATGCCCTCTGCCCTTTATTGTTCTACATAAAGATAGGTAGCCCAACCGCACCACTGCCCTACATAAGGAAACCAGGGCCTCTGCATAGGACAGGACCCCACTCTTGTTCTCTTTGGAGTTTCTGAAAACCAGAAGACAAAGCCCTGTCCCCTGCCCACCCAGGCCCTTCTCTAATGGTCACACAGAAAAGTCACAGCTCTCTACACAGTTTTTTGCCCATCCCCCTTCTTTGGCTATACAGCCATGAGGCTCAACCTGGGCCCTGGACCAGAGGTGGGGTTAGTATGTCTCATCTCTCCCACTATCCTCTCTGGGCCTGTCTGCTTCCACTCTCAACTTGAACAGGCCTCAAAACGTTCATTATTTACCTTTCAAACCAGTCCTGCATTCGTATAGGGAAGACTGCACACAATAACCCCTGATTTCCAAACACACATGCATACAAGCACATAAATGTGTGTGCTCATGTAGACAGAGTCGTTTGTATTTGGGCAGAAGGAGATGATGGCAAAAAACCAAAATGACAAGATGAATGCCAAGTCATGGCCAGTGACACTTCTCAGCACCTGACCAGACTGGGCTACATGACACAGGTGACAAAGAAGGAAATGGAAAAGAATGAGTACCAGAGAAACCAGTTTTTCTCTATCCTCTTACCGGGTCTCTTTCACAAGAAGCTTCCGAATGAAGTCCTTGGCCAGTTCACTTGTCTGGCTGAAGAATTCCTCATCAAAGTCATAACTCACAGCTGTGATATTTGCCAGTGTTTCTTGCTTCGTGTCTCCCAGGAAGGGAGATGCTCCACTTAGTCTGAGCACAACAGAGAAAGACCCATGAAACAGCGGGAAAGGAGAAAGACATAGAAGTAATGGACTCAGGAAACCCCCGTCTGTTCTCTCCAGGCCACCAAACAATAGACTTTTCAGTACGTTCCAATTCAATTTACTTTCTGAACCTCTGACTGAGTACCTGACCAGGGAGACTGTGTTTAATGGACTCAAAGGCTAAAAGAAGAGACACAGTCCCTGGCAGAACAAAGTAAAATACAATAAGGGGCCAGACAAAGAAGTTGGAGAGCACAAGGAAGTGGGGGAGGCATGATCCTCCCCTAGTGATTCTAACTTAATGGATCTGGGGTGGAGCCTGAGTCACTATGGGTATTAAGAGATCTATTCTGCAGCCAGGGTTGAGGACCTCAGCTGCAGCTAGGGGAGTCACAGTATGGCTCCTAGCTTATGCTGCTGAGAACAATCCCTCAACTGTGGAACACTGGCTCTGGCTATGGGCTTTTACCCTGAAAATGCAATGACAATAGCATTTTCCTTGTGGCCTATGAGAGGGTGACCACTGGGAACCATCAAGGAGCTGAGGGACTACTGGCATACCATGTGTGCCAAAGCAGGGCCTATCAAACTTGTACAGGTGGCTTATTCTCACCCACCCCACTTCCTGTAGCAGGAAGTCTGTGATCCCTACTTTTCTGATAAGAAAAACAGGTTCAAAGGTTAAGTACCTGCCCATGGTCACACAAACTGAAAGAAGCAGTGCTACTATCCTGTCCCAGATGAAGCCTAGTCCCCCAAAATCCAAACAAAATAAACAAAAAAACCACCTCTGCAGGAAATCTTGACTTAAGTCACTAGATTAAGGGGACAAGAAAGGGGGAAGAAAGGAGAAGGAAAGAGAGTGTGAGAGGGAGGAAAGGGAACCTGGAGATGAGAAGAGAGAAAAGAGGAGGAAGATGGGACAGGTGCAGGCACCTTTGGGGCTGTCACAAGGATTCTGGTGAAGCAACAGTCTCACGGTGAGCATGTATGATCCGCAGAAGGCTGAGCTGAGCATCCCTAGCTTGCCACAAAGGAAATTTAGAAAATTAGACTGCTCTCCCAGACTCCTAGCCCTGCTCAAGTGTATGAAGTGGAGCTCAGAACTCAGCCTCAGGTGCTGTGTGGACTTGACACACCTATTGCTGTCTCCCTTCCCCTCCCTCATTCCTCCTGAGCCAAGAAGGACTGCAACCCAAGGCTGGAGATACTCACAGGATGTAGGTGATGACACCGATGCTCCTGCAAAGGACAGTCATGTCAGAGCTGTGTGGTTCCAACCTCAAATCCCAAGGCAGTCACCACACAGGGCCAAGAAGTCACTTCCTTCCCCAGGTGGCCCCTGAATGCCATCTCAAGCCCCACTCCTCCCTACCCAACTCTACAACAGACCCAAATGCATTTAGAATCTTCACTTTCTGCATATTGAATCAAGGACCCAAATTCAAGGTCTGACTTCTGTATTTGCAGACTCTGTCATTAGAGCATGTCCCTTAACCTCTGAGCCCACCTTCCTTCTAAAATGAGGACAATAAATAGTAAGAACAGCCTCACAGATGTCAGGGTCTTAGAAAGCCAAGTCATGAGCTGAGCTGGGCCAACTGTAAAACAGGGTTCCAATAAAATATGTAAAGAAATGATCACAGCAGTATTGCTAGGAAAGCATATGCCTAGCACATAGGGATACTCCTGTGGAACACTTGATGGACTGACCAGTGGAGCTCACTTCTTAACTGCTATCTAGACCCCAGTTGGGGCTGGCCCAGGATGAGCCTGTACTTGCCTCAGCCTCTCCCCTGCTGACAAAGCTCTAACTGGCCATGGATCCAGGCCTCATTGCCTCCTGGCTGCATGTTTAGTGCTCCTGGAGCATTGCAGACTAGGGGACTAAGAAATGTGAGTGTGAGGGAAGGGGTTTAAACACTCAAGGACATGTCATCTAAAACAGGGCTGAGGCCTTCTACCCCTGGAAGGATCCCATGCCACCACTTACCACATGTCGGCCTCCAGTCCCAGTGGCTCATAGTTCACGATTTCTGGAGCTGAAAGAAGTCACATTGAAGAGTCAAGAGGGGGTAGAAATGAGAGGAGATGGTTCTAGGGAATTCTAGAGTATTTGGTGCCAAATGTCTTCATCTTGAATCTCCAATAGGGAGGAAGGATATTTGAACAGTAGATGGAAATAATCAGGATGTAAGAAGGTTGAGAAATCAAGTTGCTACAGACTGTGTGTGTTTCTAAGGAAAGTCTACGTTGAAATCTAATTCTCAGGCAACAGTATAAAACGATGGGGCCTTACAGGTGATTAGGTCATGAGAGCAGAACCTTCAGGGATAAAGTTAGGTTCTTATAAAAGGCCCCAGGGAGATTGTTCCCTCCTTCCATGTGACAATAGAGGACACTGGTATCTATGTGAAAAGGTCCCTCACCAGACACCAGGCCCTCTGGCACCAGCATCTGGGACTCTCAACCACCAGAACTATGATCAACATGCTTCTGTTGTTTATAATCAATCCAGTCTAAGGTGTTTGGTTACAGCAGCCAGTCATGGTAAGACATGACTTCCTGTTAACCTGGGAGAACTCACTCATGAATAAGCCTTGAGGAGGAGGGAAAGGAAGGCATAAAGGAAGAGGAATGTGGGAAGAAGGTTCAGGAAGAAGACATTGATGAGACTGCTGTGGGAAAAGAACCCTGGTAGACAGGTCCACGTTGCTGAGTAATGGGGAAGAAGGCAGAGAAGGCCTTCATCTTCCTTTCAGTCCTGTCTGATTGGTGACTTCTTCTGAGGACATCTTTGAGGGTCACTGAGGTAAGGTGATAAGCCTGAGGGACACCAACCATGCCAGGGGGTAGCTGACTGCAGGGAGGAGTGTGGACCAAACATCAGATTTGAAGCCATTAATACACAAGTGGAAGCAGGAGCTGGGCCAAAGATATGGTGGGTGATCATAGAAGGCATAGAAAACTCTGCTGAAGACACAAGAGGACCACGTGCTGCCCAGAGAGCACCGAGGTTCCAGAAAGCCAATGCTGAATTCCACACCCACGTTGTCCATGACTTTTAAGAATGTGGTAATGACGTGGATGAAATAATGGTAGTACCTCACAAAAGAAGAGGGCCCTGATAACTGCTAAGGGAGGGAGAGCATGGGAAAGACTTGAGATTCTTTATCCAGAATGCTATCTAAACCACCACGTCTATTGGGTATGTCTGCTGGTCTCCCCCCTGCATCTCCTCCTTCAACATACAGATACTCCTACAATGGCTTTGGTTTTCTTTTTGTTCTAGCTTTATAAAAATGGAGCCAGGATGCACTTAAAATTCTATCTCTTGATTGTTTTCATTTGCTTCATCCATGGACTTCTACTTTCACAGCTGTGTAATAGTCCATCTGCTGTGTTACTGTCTGTCTACATCCAGTCATTCTTCTCTCAGAGATCACTTGCAGGGTTTCTTCTTCTCTCATTATTGGTACTTCTTTTCATTTCTGCTGAAGGACACATGGAAGTGTGTTGTTTTTAAAAATGATACTCAAATTTAGTATGGGCCTCGAGTAATCTATGGACTGTTCCATAGATTATGGACTATGCACCAATATGCTAGGTGCATAATTTGAGAGTCTGTATTTAGAGAATTTTTTTTTTAAGTTTGGGAGTCAAGGTCTCTCTGTACAGCCCATGCGGGCCTCCAACTTATAATCCTCCTGTCTCAGATTACTGAGTTAGAGACATTTGTTTTGTTTTTCAGACAGGATTTTAAGCAGCACAGGATAGTCTCAAGCTTCTGTGTAGCTTGTCATGGCTTTGAACTCAGATCTTCCTGCTTCCACCTCCCAATTACTGGGACTATAGGTGTATCCCAACATGTCCTACTCCAAGTTAAATAATCTTACACAGCAACTTGACATCACTTTGCTGATCATCATTTCTTTAGGAATTTATTTTCATTTATCGCTCTCTGTCTCTCTGTCTCTGTCTCTCTGTCTCTGTCTCTCTCTGTCTCTGTCTCTGTCTCTCTCTCTCTCTCTCTCTCTCTCTCTCTCTCTCTCTCTCGTGTGTGTGTGTGTGTGTGTGTGTGTGTGTGTGTGTGTGTGTGTGTGTGTGTGTGTGGTCCATTAGCTCCTGGGAACTCTTCTGTCTGCTTTTTATCTTGCTATAGGAACCCTAGAGTACAGACACACAGGACCTCACCTGGCTTTCAGTAGGTTCTGTGGATTCAAACTCAGGTCATGAAGGCATAAGTGCTTTACTCACTGTATTTCCTCCGCCCTAGGAAATGAATCTCATTGCATCTTACTAAAAAGGTGGCCTGTGGCATGTGACTACGTGCTGAATTTCTTCTTTATGATTTATCTTTAGTTCTAATTCTGTGCAGGCGTGTGTTTCTGTGTGTGGGTGTGTACACATGTGAGTGCAGGTGCCAAAGAGTCCAGAAGAAGGTTTTGGATCCTCTGGAGCTGGAGGTATAGTTGTCAGCCATCTGCCATGGGTGCCCCACGGGGCCTGAATTTGGGTCCTCAGCAAGGGTTGTATGCATTGAGCCACCCCTCCAGTCCTAAAGTTCTATGTAGTTCTCTCAAATCATGCCTGATCTTTTTTTGTTTGTTTTCGTCTTGTTTTGTTGAGAGAGGGTCTGGCCTGGATGGTACCCTGATGGAGAAAATAAGCTAAGCTGCTTTTTGAGCAGGTCACTACCTTCACCTTTGAAATACTTCAATTCCCCGAGAAGATGGATACATAATGCTTTGGGTCTCAACTCTCATTCCTTTCCTCTCTGCAGAGAGATTTTCCTGTGATCCTCCAACCTCTGGACCAGGTCCCAAGGGGGGAGCTTTTAGGGTGTAGTTTAGAAGGGGCTGGAGTAGAGAGGGAGAGGAACAGAGGGAAGACAGAAAGGCCAGACCCTCGCAGGAGCTGGCTGTTCCCATGTGTGAGTGAAGGCCAGGCTCTTGGGAGAGGCAGGCGGTGGATCTGGCACCTGGCAGAAAAAGACCTCTTTCCTTTTCAGGAAATCAAAAGCTACTTCAGAGAGAGGAATTCCTGTGGGGAACCAAGACAGGGAAGTGATTTTAAATCTGCACAATAAACTCCTCTAAGAGTAAATGGTGGGGCCAGTTCTGGGAAAGTTTAACTCTACAAAGGCCTCTAACCCCACCTGGCTACTCTCTGTCCCAAAGGGCACTCAAAGCCCATGCCTGTCTCACCCAGGGCCTGGTAAGACAATTCCTTCTCAACCCCTTCAGTTTCTAGCAGATATCCCAAGGCATCATTTCTCAGCCCAGACATGACGATTGTTCTTGGGATTTCCCTCCCTTTGTGCGGGTGTGTGCGTGTGTGTGCAGTGAGCCCCTGTCTCTGCCTCCCCAGCTCTGGTATTATAAGCACACACAACTACTCTTGGTTTTCTTACATGAATTCTGGGGCTTGAACTCATGTCTGAACTCTCCTCAGCCCCAGTGCCAGACTGAGAGAAAAACAGTCCCAAAACTCACCAACAAATTCCGGTGTTCCAAAAATGTTTTTAAACTCAACTCCATCTTCTATTTCATGAGCCAGGCCAAAGTCAATCAGCTTGATGTGTGGAATGGGGATAGTTTTGTCTAACAACATAATGTTTTCTGGCTGGGGAACAAAACACAAAGAAGGAAAGATAGTAATTGATGTGTTGTTTTGTATTTTCCTTTTGGGTTAGGATGGGGTTTGTGTTCTTTTGGGTGGGGGGATTAAAACAGAAGAGTTCTTGTTTTTGTGTCCTAGGTCTTCTGGAGCTCAATTCCAGCACCAAGGTCAAGGGCCAGCTTTTACTAACCCTGAACTGACAGCAAAGCTAGAAACCAGGGCTCTAATGTCCCATCTATCTCTGAAAGGAAGATCCCCTCAACGTGGTTCCCTGCTTCCTCATCTGTCAGATGGGGTCAATCAGATACTTGTAGCTTATCCTATAAGCCAAGTCACCTCCCTGCCTGAGTACAATGTGAAAGGGACACACAGGCTTCCCTAAGGTCTATTTACTGGCGTTGATCAACTTTGTAACCTCCCTCTTTCTCGCCAGCCAGCTTCCTGTTGACTTTCTCTGAGACTAACCAACTTCTCTCTGTGTGTTTAACTAATTTTGGCTTTTGGCAGGACACAAAAACAAAATGCACCTGATTTCCAGGGAAAATACCAGCTGCCCAAGCTATTTCCGGCCCTAAAACAGCTGCTGGCCTGACACAACAATGCAGGCTTGGTGGTAAGAGAGGGGACACTGACTAGACCTCTCCACAGTCCTCCTCACCATCCATTTCTCAGCTCTAAGAGAAGCTGGGACAGGGTCCTGAGGACTGTCCTCTTCATTGCCATTCAAGACGCCAGACTAGACAGGAAATGGGCAGATCCACCAGCTTAGCCATTTTTCCTCTACTCCTTTAATGACTGTCTTAGATTCATTTTAATTGGACAGTCCTGAAAACTTCATCCACACAAAACCCAACATTCATAGGAGCATGTCCACAAGATCCCCAATGCCCATCAACCGATGAAGAGACAAAGTGTGACATACACACACTACATAATATCCATACAGGAAGACTTATTTTTTTTTTTCAGGTTGAGGACAGAATCCAGAACCTTATGTATGTGAGACAAGTGCTCTTACCAGCCCTAAGAATACTAATTGATAATAAAAGATAAAAGGGAATTAAGTATTGGTCTATGTTATAATGTAGATATGACTTGAAAATGTTATACTAACCAGGTATCAGGTTGAATTCCTGAAACTCTGGTATCTGGGATACTAACGAGGAAGACTGAAGTGAATTTGAGGTCACCCTGGGCTACATCTTAAGTCTCTTCCAAAAGGAGGAAGAGGAGGAGGAAGAGAGGAGAAAGAGAAAGAAAGATAACATGCTAAAAGACAGAAACATAGACAAAAGGGCACATAACACAGGTTTCTGTTTATAAGACATATACACAGAGACTAGGCGAATACATGAGGACAGAAAGTATATTAGTAGTTGAATAAAACCTTGGGGAATAGCGTCAGTGAGGTGGTTCGCCATGTAAAGTAGTGGTTCTCAACCTTCCTAATGCTGTGACCCTTTAACACAGTTCCTTATGCTGTGGTGCCCCCCACCATAAAATTATTTTCATTGTTACTTCATAACTGTAATTTTGCCACTGTTAGGAATTATAATGTAAATATCTGATATACAGGATATCTGATATGCAACCCCACCCCACAAAGGGGTCCTGACCCACATGGTGGGAACCACTCATTTGAAGGAATGCAAGCCTGGTGGTGTCAGTTCAATCCTTGGGACCCACATGGTGGGAAGGAGAGACCTGACTGCGGCAAGTTGACCTCTTTGTGCATACATGTGCACAAATCCACATATAAAATATAATAAAAATAATTTTTTAGATTGGGGAATAGGTAGAAACTGCTAATAAATGTGTGGTTTCTTTGGGGGTGATAAATATATTCTAAAATTTATTCTAAAACTGTACTACAAATAATTATGCTTTTGATTATAAAATCTGTAATTTACACACAGCAAGTGCGGGACTGTGTCATATGTGGACTACAGCTCGGAAAAGCTGTTAGTCAAATAAACAGATGTTAGACAGGCTCAGAAGCCACCATTCTCAAAAGAACTGAGGATTTCCCACCTTGCAATAAGAACTGAAGATTTCCCACCTTGCACCTTGGCTTACAGCACTGTCTCTAGCTGGGAGTCTTCTGGTCCTCCTGATCCCAGTATAATCCTGGCTGGACTTGAGCAAACCTTCTTTCCCTAGAAGACAGTCCTCAGGGCCCCAGGCCCTACCCAACTGTGAGCAGACCTTGTTTATCCCTAGGCATCTGCTTGTTTAGATCTTTCTGTTGGGACATCTGGCTGCTATCGCCAGTCCAGCAGCCCCTCCTTCCTGACTCTGGCAGAGCTATCCCCAACTGGCAGGAGAACTCAGACCTTGCAATGCCCTCCCATCCCAAATGCTGTGTGGATCCCTCATGGTGATGCACTGAACATGATCCTAATTCTTAGCTAAACTCACACTTCATCTGGACTGGTCACCCCTCAACACATAAACCAGGTGTCTCTGGTTCCCTGAAGTCTCTATGACCTCTTGTCACCACAGCTAGAGACTTTTACTCAAGGGAATTTAGGCTCTCCCTCGTAATTTTTCCACTTTTTTCTTCCTTCCTTCCTTCCTTCCTTCCTTCCTTTCTTTTTTTTTTTTTTTTGTTTGTTTAAATAACACATTTCCATTTGTATTTTTAAAGCTTGTTTATTCTTCTTCCCCTCTGGAGACTACACTCAACTTTATTTTGAAAATGTGTCAAAGTCCTTTCCCAAGGCAGGTCAGATTTTTAGCCTCTGCTGAAGTAGTGTGAGAGCAGGGGAGGTCAGGAGACAAGATCCATGCAGGTGGCCCCATTCTAGTGTCCCTGGCCCAGCACTCTGGTGGCTGCCGTAGGAATACTATGCTATTCCCTGCACCGAGATACACCCTCCCTACTAGCCACAACCTCCCTGCCAGGCAGCTTCTCTTCTATTATACCCACATCACTGACCACCTTGTTAGAAACCTCTCCCAGGCCAGAGACTGATCTTGGGCTGAGAGGCCATACCCCAGTAGAATCCAGGACAGCACCACAGTGAATGCAATGGGAGCCAGGGGCCACAGAGATGGACACCCCAGACCTGGAGATCGTCAGGACTACAGAGCATCAGAGAGGCAGAAAAGAACTGAGGCTTAAATCTCTAGGGTGGTGCCACCCTGGGAGAAGGGACAGCCTTAGGTCTTGTAGCTACTCACATCTGTGGCTCACAGTGCAGAGGAAATGGTCTGTCCACTGGCTCAAAGGAATGGCAGAAGACTACATTTTCTTACTCATCTGTTTCCAGCCCTGCCTGGAGCTGCTAAGAGCACTTTCCCTGCCCCGCCCCCTCCCAAAGCTGGTGATGCCCATTCACATTTCAGTTAAGATAGCCAGTCTCCTCCAAAAGGTCTTCCTGGCGGCCCCTCCTTTCCTGGACCACTTCCCCAGTATAGCTCTTCCCTCACTCCTTCATTCCAAAGCTAGAGCTCCTCTATTACTTATCAGTCGCCCTCCAATGGGCTTCAAGCTTCCTAAGTGCTTTGTTCTAGCATCTCCGCAGAGCTTAAGATAGAGCCTGGCAGCCACCAAGTGCTCAGTAAATGTTCCCTGAGAGAAGACAAGTGCCATTTACTAAGCCAATGCAATATGCAGGACCTAGTGCTAACCAAACACATGGTATAGTTTACACCTCACTCAACTGCCTCAAGCAGTGGGTGTTATCATTCCTTTCTTGCTGAAAAAAGAAGCCAAGACATCAGTCAAGGGATATGGAGATTTAAGCATGTATCTGTCATACCGAAAGCTCTTGCTCCCACCCTCTAAACTAAGTATCCATCTCCCTGCTTGAGCTGGGGAATCCAGGTGGCTTGGCATCTGGAGTCTGCCACCCCAGAATGCCTTTTCTTCTGTGGATGTGTTCATACAGATGAGCATCATCCAAACCGTGTCCCCAGCCTGGCTTGCAGACTTTCAAGTGCTCCTAAACTAGGTGCCCTCATCTCAGACAAGAAAACTGACTAGAGGGAATTAGTGCTTGGAGAGATGTCCCAGCACTTAAGTGTTCTTCCAGAGGACCCGAATTAAGTTCTTAGCACCCATATCAAGTTGGTCACAATAGCTTGTGACTCCAGCTCCAAGGGATCTGACACCCTCTTCCAGTTTCCAAAGATATTTGCATATATATGGTATTATACACACAGATGTATATGTACATAAAAATGGAAAATGGGAAGTCCTAGGAGGATGGACCCAAGTTTGGTATACACAAAGAAACATTGCCTGAGGGACCTTGGGGATGCAAGAATACTCCACTGAGTGGTGGGGACTGGGGTTCTTTCTTTCTTTGTTTCTTCCTTCCTTCCTTCCTTCCTTCCTTCCTTTCCTTCTCTCTTTCTTTCTTTTTTGTTTTTGGAGACAGGGTTTCTCTGTGTAGCCTCTGGATGTCCTGGAACTAGCCCTGCAGACCAGGATGGCATCAAATGTAAAGAGATCCACCTGTCTCTGCCTCCCAAGTGCTGGGATTAAAGGTGTGCGCCACAGCCTAAGACTGGAATTCTTATTCCCACCTCATGGGTTACTCAATGATCTACTTGAATTAGATGCCCCTATATGCTCAGACCTGCCCTGACTGGGTGCAAACTGGCCACTGGCTCCCTGCCACCAAATGATATTGCTGCTTCCAGGCCACCAAGGGAGTCTAGGCTGACCAGGGAACACAGGCCCTCTTATCTGAAGTTTTCACAGGGCTTCCTTCTACTGCTCCAGCATCCAGAAACAGCCTGACCATTTCCAGGAGCCAGAGACTCATCTTGGTGAGTACATGATCTTTGCAGCCACCCTGAGAAAGTAGGTGCTACTGCCATTCCCATTTCACAGATGTAGGAAACTGAGGCCCAGAAAATTAAAAGACTTGCCCAAGGCCCATCAGCTCATAATGGCAGGAGAGCTCCTGATATTATCACATCACTCAGTCTTGTTAAATATCTTCAGTGGTCTCAGTGACCATGAAAAGCTCCTGCTGATGACTGAGGCACTC